GTCCTTTGCCCATTTTTTGATTGGATTGTTTATCTTCCTTTTGTTAAGTTGTATGAGTTCCCTATAAATTTTGGAGAGTAAACCCTTATCGGAGATAACATTGGCAAATATGTTCTCCCATGCAGTGGGCTTTCTTGTTTTTGTAATTTTTTTATCTGCAGTTTATTGGTTGTTCCTACTTCTTTATTTTGCATATTGCTTATTTATAAATATACTTTTCCCAATTTACTACTAAGGACAATGGAATATATATAAAAGCGCTCTACAGATAGCAAAATATATGACAAATATATTTCCTCTATTTTCCATAGCTTAATATTGTTTAAGGTTTATATCACTTTTCTTTAAAATTTTTCGTTTCTTTGCTTTTAAGCTTAAAAGGGTCTTTACCTTAAGATTAGAAAAATATTTCTATTTATACATCTTAAGTTACTTTTTTGCATAAACATTAAAAGAACTATAATTTCATTCAAGTGATTACTATAATCACAGCTTTATGTTTTTACTGAGAGCAAATTTTCCTTCAATAGTCCATTCTTCAATTTTCATTGATTTATCTCTACGTAAATTTTAGAATCACTTTGTCAAGTTCCATTCCTTCATTCCCCAGAAAAGTCCATCAAAATTTTGGCTGGACCTTTATTCAATTCCCAAGCTAATTAGAAAACTGTCATTTAGTACATATTTCAATTATGTACATACTAAACTTCATTTTAGTGAAAAAGACAACACTCCATCTGAAGATAGTCTTTTTCTGTTAATATGTTTTTATAACTGTGACTTCTGCTCCACGAAATATTTATGAGAATCATTATCATATCTTTTTTCCCCTTAGAAAAGTACAAAGCCCTTTCTGGTCAATAGAATAGTTATGTAACTGTTTCAGATCCAGAAAGTTAATTTCTTTTCACTGACATGCAAATTATTAATTCTTTGTTCTTATTCTTTATAAAAAACGATCACCTTTCTCATTTCCTAACAACAGTATCCTCATCTCTAATCACATCTTTAATCTAAAGAGCTTCCTACTTAGGATGTTTTACTTTTGAGTAGATCTTAGGAAGTGATCAAGTCTTACACACTGATTTATGTTAGTGGCTTAAATTAAAAAAATTATCATTGTGTGTCTCAATGTTTAACCTCTTGGTACAAGCTCTCTCAGAAGGTTCAACAACGAGTACATTAAAGATACTTTAATTGCTCAGAAAATATTACCTTGAAGGAAAGACACAAGAAAGAAAAATAAAAGGGAATATACGAAAATGCGACCAAAGCCACTTACAACTAAAAGGCAACACATGGCCAGATGACAGAGTCACACCTGAGGACAGGGCAACAACACTCAGATCTGCTCACAGTATGTGATCCAAGAAAACCCAATTCTGAAAATCTGACTATGGCCTCATATTAGAGAAAAAAATAATTAGAAATATAGGTTCTTAAAATGTGACAGATTGTTGGATTTCTTTCAGCAACATATATTTCTTACTATTAGCTTAAAAATATTTTTAAGTGTTTCAAGAGTAAACCTCCTTTTAAAAGGATAACAATACAAATAGCATTTAATATTTATCTTTTTAAACTCATCAACTTAAACAAACAGGAACATTTTTCTTTCCATACCTTCAGGTGGTCTCTGCAACTGGGATTTCCGGTAAAACAACATATAGGCGCTCTCTTTGCCCTGAAATTGCTGTTTAATATCCTTTTCCTCAATGGGTTGGACCTTGGAATCATTTATATCAAACCAGTGGGAACAGGAGGTTCTATCATTTAATCCTGGGGATTCTGAAGTAAGTGTCTTGAAAATTTGTTGATCCTTCCTTTGGAAATCAGACTCAGCCTGCAGAGAAGAGTTCTTCAATAGACTGACTGTACTTTCATCTGAACTGAGTAGAAAGATCTGAGAATGAAGCTGTAAAAACTAGACAGAAACAAACCAACAAAAATACTAGGTTAACAAAAAAAATTTTTAAGATTGGAAGTGATTTTTTAAAAAACCTTCATCTTCCTTTCTGATATCAGATATTTTAACTTCCCTTTTATTTTTGGCCTGACAGCTACGAGGGAAAAAACAGCCATTTCAGCCATAATAAAAACATTTAATAAAAAATCAAAGTTCTCTCTGTTAATCTAATAGTTGTATCAAGAAAGTTGTCATGCCACAATCTAAAAAATATTTTCATTATACCTCAATAATGCTGTTTTAAAAAGTACTTTATGGAAACAGATTAGGAAGAACAAGCAGTTTTGAAGTATTTAAAGCAACGGAAACAAAGCACAAAACAAAGGCAATCACATGATGAAGCCTCAGAGAAGATAATTTCAAGACTAGTGACTCAGACTAATTCTGCTGGGATAAATTAGAAATTGTAAGCCTAAATTATTGCTTCATATTAACTAAATTGAATGTTTTCTGTCCAGGAAGCTGACAGGCTAGGCTAGCTCAGGAAATCAAAGCATAAAAAGGCTTGTCATAATCCCAAAGACCATTTCTCAGGTTTTTCTAGCTCAGTGGTTCTCAACCTTACTAATGCCTCGACCCTTTAATACAGTTCCTCATGTTGTGGTGACCCCCAACCATAAAATTATTTTTGCTGCTACTTCATAACTGTAATTTTGCTACTGTTATGAATCATAATGTAAATATCTGATATGCAGGATGTATTTTCATTGTTACAAATTGAACATAATTAAAGCATAGTGATTAATCACAAAAACAATATATAATCATATATGTGTTTTCCAATGGTCTTAGGTGACCCCTGTGAAAGGGTCGTTCGACCCCCAAAGGGGTCGCGACCCACAGGTTGAGAACCACTGTTCTAGCTAAAGGATTAGGAAGAACACTGTTCTCTCTCCACTGCCTATCCCACTGCTTCCTCCCCTACTCCTCTACTCTCATTCCCTAATCTCTGTGCAGCCTTGCATCTCCTTTTCTCTCAGTACAAAGTTACCTCATATAGGAAATCGCCTGGCAAGTATATGTAACATTCACTGAGCTCATCAATCATTATGGAAAGGTGAAAAGCTTCTCTTGGAAAGCAATAATCTATGATAATGCCAACTCTCAAATCTGAAGTATTATTTTATTACAAATAGAAGGGTATATGGTATATGACATAAAATATTGTTAACACTGTGTATAACAGTTGATAAAATAGGTTTGTAGCTAACTTGTTTTAGGTACAATAAAATATCAAACATTTGAAACCTCTGAGTAATGAACTTTTTGAAAAGTTAATTTTTTCTTTGCTTGATAGTTGAGATTAACTCTTTTAAGATTCAAACTTCACTGAAGTCAGCTCCCAGTAGCAGCAGAGAACTTTTACTGAACTAACCCTCCTAATAAAAATAATAAACTCTAGATAAAATAATGAAAACATCTGTTTGCAGAGTAACCAAAAGCAGGCACAAAGTGGAGGAAACATAATCCTTCAAATAACAGACACAAACTAGATGAGTTTACATTAATAAACCACTTTTTGGTTTGTATCAGTGCATGGCAGAGGAGAGTTCAAGCAAAGTCTCAATAAATTTAAAAGAACTAAAATCATAGCATGTCCTCAAAGCACAAGGGAATTAATTAGAAATAAATTTCTAGATATAACAAAGATAACTCAGACATCCCCCAAATATTTGGAAATTAAGCAACACACTTCCAAAATACTCATGAGTCAAGGAAAGAATCAAAAGGAAATTACAAAATATTTTGAACTAAATTATAATGAAAACATCAAATTTAGCTACAGCTAAATTAGTGATTAGAAGGAAATTTATAGCTTTAAAAGCATGTGTTGAACCACAAAAACCCCTTGTTCTAAACTCTGATGGGACTGCAAGTGGAGCCTACTTTCCATAAGAACTTATCACTTTGTTCTTCAAGGAAGGTGAATTCCCCGACACCAGAAACCTCAATTTACTTTATGAATAAAACCCAGAAATGAAGATGGGCTTTAGCCTACTGCATTTGATGGATGACTAGGGAGTCTGTACATTCATTCAGCTTTCTCAGTATCTATATAGAGTATTATACTGTATATTGTGTTATGTAAAGGAAGTAACTAATTAAGTGCCAGATATGTAGACCCAGCTTACTGGGTTCTCATAGTATTATCTCCATCCATCCCCACTTAGTATCACTTACTTTTCCTAAGCACTGATCAAGAATATAGATGTCACAAAAATTTTATCAACAAACTTTAATGAAAACAAGAATTATTATGATAACTGCAGTAGTGACATTTATATCACATTGTATTTTGAATATTCTATATTATGTATTATTTTGAGTAAGTCAATAAACACTTCTTCACACACACACACACACACAAAAGCATATATTAAAAGGTTTAAAAACAACTGAGACACCAACTCAAGAACCTATAAAAAAGATGACCAAGTTAAATCCCAGAATTGGAAGGAAATAATTAAAGAGCAGAAATCAATGAAACACAGAAGAGATGAGCAGTAGAGAAAAATCAAAGGCAAAAGTTTGTTTTTGAAAAAGTTTAATACATTCGATAGGCCCCTAGCAAGACTGATGAAAAAAAAAAGTAAGAAAACACAAATTATTAATATTGGGAATGAAAAAATACACTAAAAAAGATAATTTTGAACAATTTTATGCCAATAAATTTGAAACCACAGATAAAAGGACAAATTCCTTTAAAAATATAATTTTCCCAAATGAGAAAATAGAAAACTTAAATGACTACAATCAAGGAAATTAAAAATATAATTTAAAAACCATACTACAAACAAGTCCCAGGTCTAAATAGCTTCACTAAACAGTTAGAAATAATCAATCTTATGGAAATTCTTTTCCAGAATATAAAAAAGGGAATATTTCCCAACTTGCTTTATAAATCCTGCATAACCCTGATACTAAATCTGACAGACTTTACAAAAAAAATAAAATTAAAGATGGGTATTTCTCATAAACATAGACACAAAAGTCCTTAATTCATATGAGCCAAACAAATATAGCAACACATAAAAATATATTATGACCAAGTGATTTAACCCAGAAATGTAAGATTTTATAAACATTAAAAAGATCAGTCAATAGAATTCACCATATCTATACTAATAATAGAGGAATATGCAAATTGTCCAGGATACTGTCACAGTAACAGTAACGACCAAATAGCAGGATGCATGGGGTGACAAGGCCGGCAGAGGGGTTAGTGAGGGACGATCAAATGACTGAACAGCAGGCTTCGTGGGGTGACCAGGCCGGCAGCAGGGTTAGTGAGGAACGACCAAACGACTGAACAGAAGGCTGCCTGGGGCAACCAGG